TTTACAAGTCTCAAAGCTAAAGAGACCTTGAGGAGTGAGTATCTGTTAAGACAAAGAAGTCTAGCTGAACCACAAACAACCAAAACACTCATCTTTTAAAGGACAATGAGTTAGATTTACTAGTCAAATAACATCTGGAAAGGGACAAAACTAGTTGCATTGAAATGACATCAGACATTTGGACATTGATATTCTCCTTTTGAACGAGGCAATAAAATTAAACTTCCTTAAACCAAATTAACAATGGGTAATTCTGTTTTCCAAATAAGCCCAAGACTTGTTTATTGTACATGTCCTGTCTCCATGTTTGCCACAAAAACCAGGAACAACCATTTTTGCTGCTCAGGTAATCTCTGCTAACAAACTATTGTGACACTAGGAGAATAACTGACAGCTTGAAGGTCTGCTGGTAATGTCTGCTCAGGAGAATACAAGAGGGTTAAGTGGAAGGGACATGACCTTATGCCTTTATGAACTAAATGAAAATAATTCGGAACAGAAACCCAGTGGGCTTTCTTTAAAAAATATATACAGTGTTGATTAATTTCAGTTTACTTCCTGTAGTAGTATTTTAGGTTAAGGATTGTATTACAATCAAATCATTTTAACATACATGCATATGTGTTTTCATAATACTTAAAATAAGTAATAAGTGTGCGTTCAAAATCTGTATGATTCAGAAGTGATATTGGAAAATGGAGATGTGATATTATGCCAACATCCCTAAAGGAATAATATTAACACTTAAAAATTGATCTCTGATAAATCACACAAACATCACATATATAAAATGATAAATCACACAAACATCACATATATAAATGATAGGACACATTAACAACACAAATATGGCGAACCTTGCTATCTGCTAGTCTAGTCCAATGTTGTGTATTCGGAGACAGTGGTCATAGTACCTTCTGAAAAATAAATATCTCAAATCATCCTAATTTCCCAGGCTTAAACCTGTATTGATACAAATTACTATTGTAATTACGTAGTTTTAAATTAACTGTGTCTATGTCTTGCGATAAAATAGATATATATATGTGATTGTTAGTGACTTGACAATGAATAAATTGTTATTTATTGTTACAAAGCCCTTACCTAATTAATAATTTTATTGTGCTGCAAAATCTCTACATGGAGTAATCTGATTCAGGGAATTAATTTAGTGTGGTTATATTTATTCATTTCTATTTTATGTTAATTTAGCACACAAGAAGGCTAGAAGGCACTGTTATTATTATACAGGATTTGTATAACGCCAACAGTTTGCTCAACGCTTTACAATATGAGGGAGAGAATACAGCAACAATTCAGTTCAATACAAGAGGGTTAGGAGGGCCCTGCTCCTTGGAGCTTACAATCTAGGAGAGAGGGGTTAGTGGTACAAAAGTTAATAACTGTGGAGGATGGACTGGTAGGAAGAGTAGAAGAGTTGTATATTGATTAAGTAATCAATACTGCTGACTTAATCGTGTAAACATCCTGACAGCATGCTACAAGCGATGGTCTGTGACAGCAGACACTACAGGAGATGGCCAGAGGATGCAGAAACGTGGCAGAAGAAACTATGTGAATACTACAAGAGATGGTCATAGACTGCAAAAATACTATAGGAGATGCTCAGGGACTATAGGCATGCTACAAGAGATGAACATAGATTGCAGACATACTACAGAAGATGGGCAAAGAATATGGCCATGCTGCAGAAGATGATCACAGACTGCAGGCACGCTACAGGAAATGGTCAGAGACTTTGGGAATGCTATAGACGATGGTCAGAGAGCTCAGACTACTATAGGCATTAATGGAGACTGGGGAGGCATGCTTCAGATAACACATTACATGAGACTGCTAGAGATCACTGCTATTCTAGCCCCTTTACAAATCAATGCTCCCCAACAACTCCCTTAAAACTACCTGTACTTTTAGGAATAACCTACAAAAAAGATTGACAGCACAGAAGGTAAAAAAAAAAAAAAAAAAAAAAAAAAAAAAGAAATGTCAAATAAATATACCAATCCATTTAACTAAAAAGGTCAATCTACTAGCCTAGCTCAACTGTGGGTATACGGTTCTGTATATTGAGGTTTTCTATTGCTTGAACTGGGCGGACTTTGTCTTTTTTCAACCTGACCATGTAGCTGCGTAAAGCTGTCTATAGAATACTTTAACTCCACTGGTTTGAGTCAGCGCCAAATCTGCATGCAGCCAAAATAGCAGGGCAAAAAACGGCGGCAAATGTCAAAAGTGTGGCTTATTGAAAAGCAAGTTTTTCTACCCAGGTCTGGGCTTAAGAAAACTAAAGTAGAGAAAAGAAAAAAATATTTGGGAGAACAAATGGTACTGTAGAGAAAGAATTCAGGTCACCTTGCTCACCTATAACCAGCACACACAATGTGAAATGACAAGAGAGAACACTGCGACTCTGCAGAACAAAATAGTCCCCAGGATACCTCCGAACACAAATCAAAAGGCACACTTATCATTGCCATTTCATTCCAAAAAGCAGTGGAAGAATGGTTGATTCTCAAACTCGTCACCAACATGGGCATTTTAAATCAAGACTATGATTAAACACAGAGGATGAACTTTAGTTTATTTCCACTTCTGCAGCTAAATTGGGCTATTACCTTCGTCACATTTGTTACAAGCCTCAATTCACAAAGAAGAACTTAAAAAGCAATATTTTAAAAAGTGGCAGCTTACTTTTTTTTTTTTTTTTTTTTTTAGATCTTCATTATCAACTCTAAACAGATTTGAAGACTGTCTGTCCTAACAAATGGTTAAAGGTTGTTAGGGGATGGGCTTCTTGCAGTGTATGTGAATGAGGACAGATTTGGTACAGACTCATTCCAACATTGTTCAAAAAAATCTTGCAGTTAGGCATGACTCCTCCACCTAAGAAACATCTAAAAGGTCAGAACTATTTTAAAAAAAATTAAAAATGGGTACACAGTGTGTTTTTTTAAATATGACTGCAAAAGTGACAATACGGTTTAAAAACCCGCAAAACAATTAGATCCTGACACAAAAAGGTGGTTAAAACTGCATGCAAATTATCTGTAAGGCCTCATGCACACTAGACATCTTTGACACTGCTCTTAAATGCTTCTGCCATTTATTTTTGGCCTCTAAACAGCCCTGTGTGTTCGCCTATGTGTCCACATGCTGGGGTATTTAGAGGTAGAACCCCCCCCCCCCTAAAAAACCCAAAACACTGCCAGTGAGTTCAGGAGCAGTGGCGTTTTGGCAGAAAATTGCTTGATGCTTTTAGCTTGAGAGTTCATTTCAATAGCCAGAATATATTATTCTGGCTAATAAAATGAATTAATGCCCAAGCGCTTGACGCGCCTTACCACATTACATGTGTTTACAAGCATCAAGCGTTTTTTTTTCTGCCAAAACACCACTGCCAGAAGGAAAGGCATCTAGGAGAGACTGCAAAATCATCCAGTGTGCATGAGGCCTAAAATTGAAGCAAGGCTTTTCCTCCTACCAATTGGACCTTTTATGTGATAGGCAGCATCTGTCCAACAGGGAGGCTGGTGGGGCAAGATCGAGCTCAAAAGTGTAAATGTAATCCTCTGTACCTACTGATCATTCTGACATGATGTTATAAATGACTGTCACCTCTTTTGTGTTTTCATCATGCACAGTGGCTAAGTAGTTAGCACGTCCGCCGAGCAGCACTAGGGTCATCGGTTCAAATCCTAACCATGACACTACCTGCCTAGAGTTTGCATGTTCTCCCTGTGCCTGCATGGGTTTCCTCTGAGTGCTCCGGTTTCCTCCCACAATCCAAAGACATGTAAATTGGCCATAATATGTGTATGTACGAATGTGCCTTAGGGACCTTATATTGTACTCTCCTTGGGGGGCAGGGACTGATTTGAATGTACAATAGATATGCGAAGCGCTGCATTAATTAATTGTACTATAAAAGTACCTGTAATAAATAAAAAACTATACTCCGTTTGAATAGAAAAAGGAAAATTGAACTTTGGCGAATTTGGCATACCCAGTGAGTGAAAAGAGAGAGAGGCTGAGTATTGGAAGAGTAGATACTGCTAATAACTTCAAGGATTATGCAAAACTTGCCCTCCATATCAGAACAGTAAAGGGGCATTAAAGAAAAACAATAAATAAAGCAGAAAGTGATTCAACTTGCACCCAACTTTACTAAAACAGAAATATCAGTTTTGGGTGCAACAGCCCTTCAAGCATTTACTTTGTAAAGTTATGATACAATCACAAATCAGATAAACTGCAATTAGCTCCAAAACCTACAATTACTCATAGGAGGGGTACTAAGTGCATGGCTGATTCTTGGTTACACCAAATTATCATCAAGTATGACCTGCAGAGCAATGAGTAATACTATTTACGGTCATGTCACAGGTTTGAAGCAACCTAACAAACTCATCAACGTTGGCCTCACAAAATGTTTTTTCACACAATGCACACTTCTAAAATAACGAGATCTGAAATTTGATGGATGGATGGATGCCCTTCCCTCCACAAACAAGACTCTTCTGTAATGAAATTGTGCTTCTAACAGTGTGCATTAGAAGATGCAGAAAGTAAACAGAGCTTGCCTCATTCCTGGCTGAAAGTCTGTTATCTAGCTCTTTCCGTCCCAATCTGACTGTCCCTGGCCCACTCCTTTCAATTACTGGACATTGGTTCTTTCAGTAATGGAGGTTCAGCATCACATGTATAAAGCACATACCACAGCTTCCAGTTTTCAGGAAGCTATGTAGAGCACCCTGACCACCTCTCCAAACAGCCATGATCTGCCTGCATTGCATGGAGAAGCACAGAGACATCACTGGGTCTAAAACAATGCATGTAATGAAAACAATGGCTTATTTAACTGCTTTCCCACCACCCTACAGTAGAACTACTGCTATAGAGTGGAAAGGTTGCGCAAAATCACATATATTTATATGTGTGATATGCATTTCCGGGTAGGAGGAGCACGTGCTGCTATACCCGCGCTGCCACTGGTGGCTAGGGATGTCAATCACCAGGTCCCGGCTGGAGATTCCCTGCCAGTACCCGGCGATCATCAGGCAAAGCTGACAGGGGAGAGACCTGTGTGTAAACAACACAGGTCTCTCCCTCCCTTCAAGGACATGCTGCTGTGTATTTCTCTGTGCAGCAGAAAAATACACAGCAGCATGTCTCCATAGTAAAACACACAGCACATCATGTAAACCAGCACACTGTTAACCCCTTTGATTGCCCCAGATGTTAACCCCTTCCTGCCCAGTGTCATTAGTACTGTGTCAGTGCTTTTTATTAGCACTGATCACTGTATTAGTGTCACTGAAGATATCAGTAACAGTCAATTCCCCAGTGTCAGAATGCCTGCCGCAGTCCTGCTATGAGTCGCTGATCGCCACCATTACTAGTATAAAAGAAAAAAAAAATTCCAGTATATATACTCTTTATGAGCATTGATCACTGTATTAGTGTCATTGGCAGTTAGTCAGTTCCCACCCAGTGTCAGAATGCCTGCCTCAGCCCCGCTATAAGTTGCTGATCGCCACCATTACTAGAAAAAAAAATAAAAATTCCAGTATATATACCGTCATTTGTAAACGCTATAACGTTCACATAAACGAGTTAATTTACAAGTATTGGGATTTTTTTTAGCAAAGATGTAACAATACATTTTGGTCTAAATTTATGACGAAATTTGATTTTTAAAATTTTTTTTACTGGAAATGTTTTATAGCAAAAAGTAAAAAAAAAAAAAAAAAAAAAAGATTTGTCGGGTTTTTTTTGTTTATAGCGCAAAATATAAAAAAAAAAAACTGCAGAGGTAATCAAATACCACCAAAAGAAAGCTCTATTTGTGGGAAAAAAAGGACATTTCATTTATGTACAACGTTGCATAACTGCGCAATTGTCAGTTAAAGTAACGCAGCGCTGTATAAAAAAAAAAATGGCCTGGTCAGGAAGGGGGGTAAATCATCTGGAGGGCAAGTGGTTAAAGTCTAAAGCTAGTTACAAATAAATAAAAATAAGCATAAAGGGACATTACTTTCCATGATGTGTCACCTTACTTATGTGTCCTACTGTGTTGCTGTCCCCTAGTTTAGGTGAAAACTTTCTACCACAATGACCCCATCCCCGCAATGTTCTGGTGCAGAGGGGTTAAAAGAACTGAAGGAGCCGTCATTGGTACTCACCAAGAGTGCCTGACTATGGCCATCCATTCTGCCCAGCTCCTCCATTCATAGAAGGCATACTACAGCTTCTATGAATGAATCTATAAATGGAGGATGGTGGATGATTGAAGGTCTGCCAACTCCACAGTACAGCTTCCAAGAATGGAGAAGGTGGTAGGGCATAGTCAGGCACTCTTAATGAGTGCATGTGACAGCTTCCTGAGATATATTAAACCTGTCGCAAAAGAAGATTATGGCAGTGGGGTGGGGGCATTGGAGGAGGAAATTTCCAGCAGCACAAGGGACACATCACACTGATGGTAAGTAATATCAAATGTATTTTTATTTTATTTTTTTAACAAACTTTGTCATCAACATGTTATTAACACTTTAAAGTCTGAGGGAGGGAGGAACTAGGGAAGATAAAAATAAAAGCAAATTAAATTATAGCTTATGATTATCCAGGTGTTTTTAACAGGTTTACGAGTTGCATGATTTTATTTATATTTATCATTTAACAGCTTAGGAAAAAGTAAAAAAATACACAACTACAGGTCTACAACTCCCAAAACCCCAACAGATTTAGTGCCTCTGCTGCCCTGGCTGACAACAGCTAACTAAAGGAGAAAATGAAAGGAAAATTGGGCTTTGGGAAATTTGGCATGACCAGTTGAGGAAGAGGGGATGCTACGGTTAACTTCACCAAAAAATATGGGCTCCTGCCCCTGAATTCCAAGTGGCAGTGTGAGCTGGATCTGGGGTGAGATTCCCCAACTTGGAATTGTTGATTAGGAATATGTCAAAGCCAGCAGGGAATCTCAGAATCCTGAAAAAAAGGTCCCAACTGAATCCTGCTTACTTTGGTGACCAAGGGAAATGGTGGTGGGAAGCCCATATTCCATTGGAGCTAGGGCTGGGATCCACTCTGCGATCATGGCAGTGAACTACCAATGGGTCCTTCAGATCTCTCATTTCACCGAGCACATAAGCAGCAGAGGTTGAACATCTGATTTCTGGAGACTGGACAGATTCTCATTCCAATTCAGCAGTATTCCACGGTTATATATTATGAGGGTGCTTACTTAGTCAGAGCTGGCCAACAGGCAGTCATTGCCTAGAATAACAAAGATGAAGGAAAAGTGAAGAGAAGATAAGCATTATCTGATTAGGATGATATGATTGTCTCATTTTGAAATGAGTTATTTAAATTGGTAACATAAGGAAGCCTGCCATCAGACGAGTGTGAATTTCTGCAGACCCCTGGCAATGGCGAGCACAAGGCTTGGCACATCTGCCCACGTCCTACAGGAACATACAGCTCCCCTCTTGATTCAGGCAGCTTCCCCTCTAATTAAATCCTATTGACTCCAGATCAACCACTGAGAGGGCTTAAGTCACCTGATCGGGGATTTAACCACTTTAAGCCTTTCAGTGGTGCAGATGCTCCGAGAACACAGTCAAGGTCTTAATATTGTCACATAAATGATGGGATATCAGAACCAGTACAGAGAAAAAAGCCTAAATGATAATCATGTGTATAGAAAAAAAAAATAAAATAAAAGATTACAGGAATACTACAATTAGTGACATTATACAATATGCATAGTCTCCAAAAATAATCTGTACACATTCACTAATTAATGGTATCTTGTACCATCTTTCATGAGCTCCCGAACCTCTTTTTTCCCTAATTTCTGTTTAGAATGAACAGTGCGTGTTGGTTGCAGTCATGTGCACTTTGGTGTGCACACTACAAATCCTATAGTCCATAGTCCACCTCGGGCGAGGGCAAGAGATGGTGGCTGCATTCCTTCATAAAGTGGAAACATGGAGATCAAAAATAGCCACGCTCTAAAACAAAGATCACAGCGGCAAAAAAAAAAAAAAAAAAAAAAAAAAAAAAATTGCTGTGATCAATATAAGGTCCTTTTCGGCGTTAGGAATACACAGTTTGAATAGAATTTGCTGTGTTAAAACAGGAGTTTAGTGTCACTTTAAAAAGATTCATTGACTTTCTTACATGATAAAAGTGGCTCAAATAAAAGCTAATCACATTGGGGGAAACATTTTTTTTACTAGTAAAACAAATTACGGATGTTCTAGTTGACGGACCAAAATGGACATTTTGTTATGTGTGGAAAGTTGCCAGCTTAACCCCTGTCAGCTGCTTATATCGTAGATGTCTTCTGAGAGATTTTGCTGTGACAGTTTGACTTCTCTTCCTTCCACAGGACAATAATGTACATACCCTGGAATTCAGAAAGAGCTCTTTTTTGATGCTCTTTAGAAATCTGTGTTTTGGTAGTGTGACAAATGGTGGAACTTTTGACAGATTCATGTGTGTTGGTAAGCTGTGTATGAATCTTTAATTAAACTGTCAGAACCATCACATCCATCATTCCTGCGAACTGGTGGAATTTTACAGCTATTTGAAGAAGGTGAGAGAGTAATAGAAAAAGTATCAAATGTCAGTTGCAGAGGAACTTTTGTTGCAGAAGTGCCTTAAATATACAACACAATTACACAAGAAACAATTTACTCCAAAAAGGAGGTCGTCTTATTTATCGCCATTTTCCTTATGATCATTACAATTTTTTTTTTTTAAACACTAGTGTTGGACAGCAAAAAATGTCACAAATAAGAACTACTTGAATCTGTTGCGTGCGTTCGTACCAACAAGAGTTTTTCATGAATTTGGTGGAAGGCTTCCTACTACACCCACACCACCAGACACAGGTCTCAAATGCCTTAATGAACGGCCTCCATAGCAGTCTGGTTATTCACTTCTAACACTTTGTAAATCAGGAGATTGTGACACTATGATTGGGAGGAACTAAATTCTTGTGGAGAGTTCTCTCTACTGAGAGAAAAAAAAAATGCAGTAAATGAATAAACTTCTACCTAAAAAAAGATATTTCTGTTTAGTACAACTGTACCAGTAACATGAATGCCAAACACACACTCAAAAGTGTTATGCCTAGCGCAAAACATGTCAGAATAGAACCCATCCCTGCTGAATATTTTGATTAACCACCTCCCGCCCACCATATAGTAATATGATGGACGCAAGGTGGTTCTCTCGTTCTGGGAGGACGTCATATGACGTCCTTGCATTCTCATCGCGCAAGCGCGGCTCAGGGAGCGCACAGCGCGGCGATCGGTGGTGCGCAGTGTCCTTCGAACACAGTGGATCACTGATCACGGAAAGAGCCGAAGATGGCTCGGTCATGTGATCAGCTGTGTCCAATCACAGCTGATCACATGTAAATAGGGAAATGCCTGTTATCGGCATTTCTCTCCTCTCCAGCTGTCACGCTGACAGCTCGAGAGGAGAGGAGAGCCGATAATCGGCTTTCCGCGGAGGAGACATGTACACTGATCATCAGGGCACTGATGATCAGTGTACCCTGGTGACCAGTGTAGCCCCAGCAGCACCACCTGCCAGTGGTCATCAGTGCCTTGTGTCAGTGTTCATCAGTGCATCGTGCCAGTGCCCATCAGTGCCACATAGTGTCTACCAGTGCCCATCAATGCCACATATCAGTGCCCATCTGAGCTGCCTTTCAGTGTCACCCATCAGTGCCAGTCAGTGCCACCTATCAATGCCTATCAGTGCTGCCAGTGTCAGTCAGTGCCACCTATCAGTGCGCATCAGTGCCACCTATCAGTGCCAGTCAGTGCCACCTACCAGTGCCACCTATCAGTGCCCATCAGTGATGCCTGTCAATGCCCATCAGTGCCACCTACCAGTGCCTCATCAGTGCCCATCACTGCCACCTATCAGTGCCTATCACTGCGGCCTCATTAGCGCATATCAGTGAAGGAAAAAAATCACTTATTTACAAAATTTTATAACAAAAAACTAAGAAAAAACTTTTTTTTTTTCCACAATTTTCAGTGGTTTTTGGTTTAAGAAAAAATAAAAAACCCAGAGGTGATTAAATACCACCAAAATAAAGCTCTGTCACAAAAAATGATAATTTCATATGGGTACAATGTTGCATGACCGCACAATTGTCATTCAAAGTGCGACAGCGCTGATAGAAATTGGCCTGGGCAGGAAGGGGGTATAAGTGCCCTGTAGGCTAGCGGTTAAGGAAAAGGCATCTTGTTTTACAGCATTGCTGTTATTGCTAAAATGATTGCTTCTGTGGAAAACAGCCAGGTCAGCACCTGAGATGTGATTGTAGAGCCTGAGTAACATGAAATATTTGACATTGGA